AATCTGGATTCTGCGCTTAGGGGCACATATCAATAATGGCAGTCTGAGCTAATTTTCATTTCCTCCCACCATGATCTCAACCCTCTTCTTACACCTCCTCACAGGTATTCTAGTAATCTGTTTGCATAAATTATAAACGCCATGTGGCTACTTGGACGACAATGCAGTTCTCACTGCGTCACACTTTCTAGCTCATGTCTAAAAGGCTGCTGGGACCCAAACTTACTTATAAGTCTAGAAGAACAGAGAGGTGGTACTGGTGTGCCCTGAGGAAAATCTGCAGTGTCCTAAAAGTGACTCCCTTTAGGAGGCCCTACACGTTCTTCAGTCAGAGGCAGACATTGGCAAGGCTGGTTCTTGGAAGTGAAGCAAAGGTCCTCAAGCGGAGACCACACTGACTGCACTCCCCATCAGTGAAGAGCTGGGATGGGTGGGCAGCTGTGGGCACAGATGCACTGAGCTCTTGTCCAGAAGTCTCTGCCACCTCCCCTGCATATCTGGATCCCACTGTACCATACTCTATCGGCAGTCCTTTTCTGGAAATTTCTCTCCCAGGTCCGTGTCCCAGAAAATGCTTCACAATAAAATGAAAATCACCCAAATAAATAAATAAAAAATTTTTAAAAAGGAAAATCGCAAAACACTGAGCAAGTGAAATGCTCAAGTATAAACGAACCCCCAGAAAGCTGTGTGGTCCCATCCACCATGTAAAGCCACAGAAGGAAGGTTCCATCCATCACCTGAAAATGGGCTCTCACCAAACACAGAATGTGCTGGCGAGTTGGTCCTGGAATTCCCACCCTCCTGCTTTGTGAGAAACAGATGTATGTAATTTACAAGCTATATCTTCTGCGATGATTTATTATGGAAGCTCGAATGGACTAAAAATGAAGAGCAGGTGCCGCTGGAAGAAATACCTGACACATATCTTTGGGGTAGGAACTGGGCAAAGGAAGAGGATGGCGGACCTTCAAGGAATGTGCTGGGGGAAGCTGCTCTGGAAGAGAAGAGGGAGCTGCAGTGAGACCTCCACCTCCTTAGTGAATGTAGAAGTGGTTGTGAGCAGAACATTTGTTAGAAATACAGATGGCAAAGCCCAATTTGATGAGGTCTCCCATGGAATTAAGGACAGTGTCCAAAAGTTATTCCTTGTTCGAATCTGGTAATTCAATTGGCCAAAAGCGATTCATCTCAGTATGTTCTAGAGAGTGAAAATGGTTTGTGATAAAAGCTTTTTGTGTGTGTGGTGCCAGGGTTTGAACTCAGAACCCTGTGCTTGCCACCCACTTATGCCACGGAGCTATATTCCTCCTGGCCCTGTGATGAAAACTTCAGTTGGAGAAATTCCTACAGAAACTATTGAAGGAATGTTTCCTTCCTAATTCACAGTATCTATTGTGATACTGTGAATTTCACATCTTATTCATTTGTTCAAATATATATGGAATAGTTAAAATACAGTTACTTTCTCTTAGTTCACCAAAAAAAAGTTTTGTGCCAAAGTAGTATAGACAAAGTGTCATGCCTATATCTTCTACTCTGAATAATTACTAGGAAGACAACAATATGCAATGTATCAACTAATGCAACTGTCCTACAAACGTGTTTTGAAATTCAGTTCCATTGTTATATTTATCTGTTTTTGGTAAAATAAAAAAAGAAACTGATGAAGGAGCCTTTTGGTGCTATTCAAAGCTTATAGTGGAATATAAAAGAGATAAATAACTTTAAGATAAAAGTTTTAATTTGGGGGCTGGGGAGGTAGCTCAGCAGTGTAAAGGCCTGCCTAACAAGCACAAGGTCCCAAGTTCAATTCCCCGTACCAAAAATAAAAAAGTTTTAATCTTAAAGGCATTAGAGGTTGACAGTTTTGAAATGTCTCATCCTCCTGTAACATAAAACATGAGAAAGTGTACTCCACAGACAATATCAAGTGTGAGGTCCAGGGACAGTTTGGTAGGAGGTGAGGATGGGCCCCCCACCGGGAATTATTGACCAGGACAGTAGAAGGATGCCCCCAAAGATACCTCAGAAATCACTGAGTCTGCCACTGCCATCATGAGTTTAAAGTGCTAGGGCCTGGGAAACAGAAGGTCCTCAAATATGGAGCACAAGTTTCTGCAGGATCTTCCTAAACACCTCCTAGTGGTGTTTTATAGCTCTGCTCTAAATTGTGGAGCCCTAACTGTTCAACCACCGGAAGTATGACTACAGTAGGCCAACATGTGTCATGGGCCATGATGGCTACACTCTCAGAAGCAGAGATGACTGGCATCAAGGGTGTCCTTGTGGGCCTATCTCTGCAAGAGTACAGATTTCCCGAGCCATGGGTGCTTGCTGTTTCTACCACCTACATATTAAAGGCCTCTACCCAGAACGGCACTCTCAGGATCTAGATGGTGCTTTTGAGACAGCAACGCCCAGTGAAGCAATGCAGTTGGTGAAGATGAAGACCCCAGTGGAGAAATCCTCTTTGGGAGACCTTTAGCATGAATTCTGCTGAGAAAACCAATAAAGGCAGCGTGTCCTGGAAGCGTGAGTATGCATGCTATGCTCCAGTGTGTCCAAAAGATGGAGTCTCCGCTCAAACATCTTGCTGGAGCTGTAAAGCATGATGTATTTTGGCCCTAGCCTTCCAAGGTCAATTAAGACTCAGGACATATGAGAACTTGTACTGTAACATCATGTAACTCAGTAGTGTCCCAAATTTTCTGATCAAGGAGATTATGGGGCCAAAGAGGAAAGTGATCGATAATGTAGAGTGTGCCTAAGGAGAGTCACATGGAGAGAAAACATTCTCTCAGGCTTTCACAGAGAGCACATTGGCCAAGCAATGGCCGTGACTCATCCACATGGCTGACACTGACAAAGGTTCTGCAATTTGAAGTATAGGATCTCAGGATAAATCCTGAGGGGATTTCACTGACCTTATCAGACCAAAAAGCTACAACTCTTGTTGCATAGGTTCTGCTTTACCTTGGTCTTAACTATCCAGTAGAAAAGTATAAAAACAAAGTATAAGAAGTAAAGCCATGCTGTTATGTTGAGCTGTAGGGGACTCAGGTCAACAATTTCTGACATTACCAGTGAAGCAGAAGACCCAATACTATTATGGACTACTGAATTCTTTTAGAATATTTTGCCGAGTTTATACACCTATAATATTTAAATGATGGAACTTAACAAAATAAAGGGGATATAGATGAATGTCCATTTTGTATCTGTGTATTCAAAGTGGTTAGGATAGATATATAGTTGCATTCTCTTAATGAATAGAAGGATTTGTTCTAATGGTGTTTGTAAGTGGGATATCATGTCTGCATCTTGTACAGCAATTAACCACTAGGAAGAATGTATGCAACGTGTTAATTATTGAACCTGTCCTACCAATTTGGTTTGAAACTGTCTCATTGCTATTTGTTTCTCAATAAAATTATGGGAAAAAAAATAAAGTATGATGTTGTAAGCTTTGTTAGCTTTTACAGTTACGTGAGCTTGTGATCCCTTCTTATTCTAATTTCTCCCTTCTGGAATGGGAACGTCTAGTCAAGGCCTCACCACCTAATGTACTTTAGAATCATATAACTTGTTGGGACTTCCCAGCTGTACAAAGAGATTTGAACCAAGATGAATTGTACCTGGGATGTCACCCATAGCAGACATCTGTGATGTTCATGTTGAAGCCTCATTCATCACCAACGTTGTGGTAACATGATGGAAGTGCCACTTGGAGGTGCTTAGGCTAGGAGGGTACACTGCATGTATAAGACTCATGTCCTTACAAAAGAAGATTCAGAGAGTTGCCCGGTCCCCAACCACCAGGGAGAATTTCCCACCCATGAGCAAGGACACAACCTTCACCAGACACACAATCCACTGTTCTCTTCAGTTCAGGCTTCTGAGACTTCAGAAATGTTATAAAGCAAATTTATCTTATTTGTGAAATACTTAGTCTATCAAATTTTATTATTGCACCTGGAAGAGACTGTGCCACAGCCAGTGCGGTTTGGCGTGTGCTTCACCTGGGCACATCCTTCTCTTGCACTGTGTGCTGCGTTGTGCTGTGGCCAGTGATCTTGGTGCTTATATCAAGGCTATAGGCATGTTGCTGCCTCCTGGCCCATCCCAGTCCCTGGTACATATCACATGCCTTCAAGTTAAGGATGTGTGCATCGTAGCCATCAGGAAACTACCATCCCAATTGTGATTGTCCTATCTACAGGAGCCATCTCTCTATCCACTCAAGCTTTTTACCCATGCAGCTTTCCCAGTTTCCCTCATTCCCCTCAGGAGCCACCACAGCAAAACACAGAGCCCAAGCACTGTGCCCTTGTTGGCCCACAGGAGACCTCTCCATAGTATGTATGTGGTGGACACTAGGCACCTGTGTGATCACAGCTCTGTCCAGGGTCAATTTTCTCACTTTGAATATAGAACGGGGCCAGACTAAATAATCACAATGTCTACACTACACTGTTCTACACTGTATTGTACCACTCCAGAATGAGGATGGTCAAGAGATGATCCATTTATCTGTTAAGGAAGACAAAGGTACAAAGGCCAATTGTCCTTGAGATCTCAGATGCTGGGGTCCAGGGTCATTCCCCTCAAATAATACACAGGAGCTTTAGATGTGTGGCAGGAAGAAGCCAATGGAAGTCTATGAGACTGCACAGGTATACAAGAGCTGTATTTACCCACGCTGCTCAACAGATGGTGACAATGTCCAGCATGGAATAGTTGCAGGAGAAGGTGAATAAAGATAGGGATTTGACACAGCCAGGATGTGTGATCAAGATCTTCCTGAAAGGTGCCCTGGTCTTGCACAGCATGGCAAACTCAGACCCTTCAGGGCTTAGGTTGAACTGTTTGATCAGAGGTACTCCTGGGCAACATTGTGGCCAGGAAGCCATGCCCTTGCAGGAGAAGAGGAAGAGTGGTGTAGGGGCATGTAGACAGAGAATGGTGTTGGGGTGTGGAGCTTCTGCAGGGAGGTGAGCCTAGCTGACAGTATGAAAAGTGAGGAGGGGAAAGGAAGTGGGCATCAGAACAAACCGGTAGGTAAATTTCATATCTTCTTGGAATGCTGTCTCCACCCAGAAGGATTTCAGCATCTAGGACAGAAATGGGACTTGTCTCTGTATCCCTGAGCAGCCCCAGGGTCCTAATAGTTTGCCCAGATCCTTAGTATAGCCCCCAGACTGCTGGAAGGAGCAGCTTATTCTCCCATGCAGAGCAACTCATGGTGCCAGTCCTCCCACCTGCCAACCACCACCCTACTCAGCAGGGCCACACCTTCCCAGGTCACCCTTAGTGTTCCAGAGCACAGCTTACCCACCCACAAGCTCTGCAAAGGCTCACGCAGAAAATGCCACTCCTTTCTCCATAAGGGCCTCTCCTACAGAAGCCCTAACAGGCCTCTGCCAAGACCTGCTCCATCCCACAGGCCCTGCCCGGACTGCTCACTCACGTGATGCAGAAACAGCAGCATCTCCATCATTGCCACGCGTCGTCCCAGACACTGGCGTACCCCAAAGCCAAAGGCCAGGTGGTGGAAGCTCTTCTTGCTTTCCAGCCAGCGCTGGGGCCTATATTCCTCAGGACTGTTGAATGTCTGGGGGTTTCGGCCCAGGGAGTACATGGCTAATTGCACCATAGTCTGAGGACAGATGGAGAGGGAGGATCAGAAGGACAGAGTGGCAACTTGCAAAAGGGGCCCTAGAGTCTTGCTTACCCCAGCTGGGATGTGGTAGTTGTGAAGCACCATGTTTGAAGTCACAATTCTGTCCAAACTAAGCCCAATGGGGTACAACCTGGGAATGGAAGACCAACACAGATGGCTCAGCTGTGGCGAGTGTCACTGTCAGTCTCCTGCTCTCTGAAAGGGACAGGCAGGCCTCCTCCTGAGGGTGGGCTCTCAGGTACTTCCAGAAGCCCCCCAGACACCCCCAATCCTGAGCAGTTCAGGTTAAAGAACACAGGGTGATGAGCACAGAAGGTTGGGTTGGGGTCCCAGAGGAAGAGCCACACACATGTACACGTTAGGGCTTGAAGGGGAGTCAAAGAACAGTGGGCTCCCAGAAAAAGGTGTTCATCCCCCCACCTCTGTCCTCAAGCCCCTGAACAGGTAAACAGGGCACAGGGAAGGTTGAGCTGGCCCCTACCTCAGGGTCTCCTTGATGGCTGCCTGCAGAAGGGGAAGCTCTGCGGTAACCCTGCTGGGATCCCTAGAAATGCTGTCTTCAGCAGCCAGGCTCTCCTGCCTCAGGGCCTGCTGCACTGAGGGGTTCCTGGCCATCTCAAAGAGCGTCATAATCAAGGGAATGGCTGTCTGCAGGAGGCAGAGGGCAAGAGTCAGAGTACACACTGCCAGGCCCTCCATGCAGGGGATCCCTCCGTGAACACCCCCAGGAGGATAGGCCCAGTACTCAGGACTCTGATGCCCACCTGGACACCTGCAGAAGTCCTGAAGGAAAGGCACCCATCCCATATCACTTCAGTGTCTGTTGCCCACACCCTTCCTGGAGCCTCAGAGCATGTGCCGCAGGATTACTCAGTTCCCTGGAGACCACGCCCAACAGCTTCTAACAGCTTCTGACAGTCTACAGACTTTGCTATACTGACAAGAGAAGATCCCCCAGGGCCTACTCATTTCCTGTCGAGGGTCATTTATGGGACAATGAAATAAATTTCTCTTTGCGCTTCTGAGGTCTGTGCCACACTGTCTCCAAAGTGGATTATCATGTGACCCGCAGCAGACATGGCCTATGAAGGGCCTTCCTCAGTCTGCGCCTGCTCTGCAGGGTTAGAAGGGTTGACTCTGATCTTGTGCTCCCACGGTGGTCCTTCTCTAGCCTCGGCATGAAGGGCTCCCTTCCTGGTGGAAGCCCTGTCCCTTTGGCCTCATTTGCCTCTGTGGCCACCTGCCTCAAGCAGTCTGATGCCTTGCAACATCCTGCAGCATTTCTAGCCTTCGGCTGTTCCCTCCTTCCCTCACCAGTTCTGGCCCCTTTCTTTGATGTGTTACTGCATGCTGGGCCCAAGCTTTCATGTTCCCTCCTGAACTCCCCTGGGCACTTGACAGCGGTGGATGCACCCTGGCCTTTGAACCTTGTGTGTCCCAGCCTGGCTTGGCTCTCGGACTCCTCTCTTTTTAGTCCTTCAAGCATCTGCTCAGTGCCCAGGCTACCTTGTAGGTTTTGCTCTGTGGCTCTGCACTGGCTAACCAGACCATCCCCATCCTCCCAGCTCCTGCAATGAGCACTTGGGGAAGGCTGCTCTCAGGAAGGCCATCTTCACTCTGCCCGTGCTTCCGCACAGCTCCCCACACCTATGGATGCCCAATATGCGTGCCTCTATGCAGGCTCCTTTGTTCTCCCCACCCCGACATTCCATCATCTCATAGCTGAACACAGCAAGAGTGCAGGGGCCAGGCCTGCAATGGGGCTTGTGGGAATCTATGCATAAAAGACCCTGCAAGGAGTCCAGGTGGGCTTCGTGTCCATGGTGGCATAGCTGCTGGCCTGACCGTGTCCACACTCCCTGCAATGAGGTCCACAGTGTTGGCCCATATGCGATTTAGTGACAAATGCCCCTGCAACAGCAGATCTGTCACGATGCCGCCTGTGTTCTGAAGGCAACCTCCAGCAATTTCCTCATATTTCTTCTGGATGCAATTTTCAGCTGCAGGAAGAAGGAGAAGGCTTAAGACCCCAGAGCTGGGAATGTTGCTTCCTTATTTTGTGCCTCTTCATCGACCCATGACACCTCCAAATCTTTGTGAGCCCTCCCTCCATTAGCTCCATTCTAGGCCACCCAAGTCCCCTGCCAACACCTTGGCAAGAACACAGGATGACAGCACCCTCATGTGTGGACTCTCTGTGGCCCTGACAGGGGTGGGGAACGATGCATGGCAAAGCGATGACCCTTCTGTCACTGGGCCTCACCATACTCAGAGATACAGTCCCAGGCCTCAAAGTGCTCCTTCCACTGCGGGCCCTTGGTCCAGCAGGTCAGATTTGTGGGCAGGAACAAGAGTTCGGGAGTGGTTTGAAACATGGCATTCAGGGCATGGATGAAATTCAGGCTGTCAGAATTGGCGGTTTGGCCAAAGAGACCCAATTTTTCTCCAAAAAGTGCGGCACAGCTGGCTGCAGAGAGAATGGCATTGTTGGCTAAAGACACTCCTGGACTTGCATCACCATCCCAGCCCTCTATCCATAATTGCTGGTTACCTCCACATGCCTTGGGATTGGGAACAATCTAGAACGCACCTTCTGCAGCATAGTTGAAGACACTGGGCTTGATGTCCAGGGTCAGTCTCCCATGGGCACTCTGTAGCACCTTCTGCTTCAGAGCCTCTGAGAAGTCTTCTGTCACTGAGGCTAGCAGTGGGAGGAGCTTTTTCACAGCCTGAGGTCTCAGCAAACATGGATTCAGCTTCAGTCGGTTATGGCGCCATTCAAGCCCATTCCTGCAAGGCAGAGCAGAGCTGCACTCAAACCTAGCCCACATTCCTGGTCTCCAGAAGGAACTGGGTGTCAGTGGCAGATGAGTGGGTCATAGAGATGGGCTGCTGCAGGTTCTTGCTGCATCCCTTGCTCTCAGAGTCGCTGGCATGGGTTGGTACCATAAGCACTAAGGTCTCAATGGGGATAAGACAGCAAACTCTGCTTGCAGAGCTGTTCCAAGTAGCCATGTCCCTTTGTCTGAATTCCCAGGCCCCAAGTTCTGCTGTCACATGCTCGTGCTGGCCTTGCTTGGGTAGGGAGGTTCTGTCTTCATGAGAGGATGCTGACCCCACTGTGAAGTTGTACCCACCTGCTCCACACTATGTCCTAAGAGGAGAGGTAACTGTCCCTCACTAGGGAGCATGCTGCCTCTCAACTCTGGCATCTGCCTATTGCCAAGAAGGGCCCCGTCTTCTTTCAAGCAGGATATAATGATAGCGCTCTATGTCCAAGGCAGAGCCCAGAGACCAGAGGGGCCCTGAGAGGGTTCTCCAGATAACGGCAGGGAGTGATTCACACTCTGAGCCACGCACTGCCTGCCTCCTCGCTGATGCCTGCAGCTACTGACAGCAATCACACGCACAGGTGCATTCACACATTACGTAGGCCAACAGGACGTAAGAGCCGTACACCTATGGAGATGTGCAACGGAGACCCAGACACCCAACACGTATTTCTATCCACACACATGCACACATAGGAATGTGTAAGTGCTAACAACACTCACACACATGAGAATAACATGCGTATATCAATCGGAGACAGGATGTGTACACACAATCACACACAGACTCACACGCTCACTGATTCCTTTGTATTCACATGCCCACACTTGTACCCGACCTTTCACTCGGTCTTCCGCCTCTGCCGTCCTCTCTTCTTAAGGGCCACACTCATGGGATCTCTTTCCTTCAACCCTGCTATCCTGAGAGAGTTCACTTCCTGGCAAGGTGGCGTGATTACCCACCATGCACCATCTCCCTTTTAGCACTCTGAAGTCCTGCAGGCAGCAACTTTTCAATTGGTCTGCCTCGATCACTGCTGTCTTCCTGCTGCCTTGTCCAGGTGTCCTGTTTCCATAGGAGTGTTGCAGGTCTCTATGCCACTAGCCCATGTAGAGCTTTGCTTCTGTGCCCAAAGGACCATTTAGTGCCTCTATCTCCATCACCTGTATTCCCAGGACTCCTACAGAGTAAAGGGTGCCTTATCTCTTGGAGGGCATCAGTAGGAGGGAGGCTGCAGCCTAGCGGACATCAAAGTCAGGAATATGTGGGCTGCGGTCCTCGACCTTTTTCTCCCCTTGTCAGGAAACACATCTCTACTTGGCAGTCACCCCATTTCCAAGTCCTCTGGAGAACCCAAGGTAGATGCGCTTCAGGGTCTGGT